GATATAATATTGCTGTGTTTGCTCTTTATTTTCACCTGAGAAATCTATCAAAAGAATCCTCCCCGAGTCCCCCTTTTATAGTGGAACGGGACAAGTGGTAGGAAGAATTATTTTCTTGTTGGGTTCAAAATTATCCTCGTGAGCCCCTTCGTCACAAAGAGTGTTGTAGGCAGAACTACTTGGTCAAACTCAGCTCTCCAAATCTGAAGAGTGGATTGCTCCAAGAGAGAGGGTGAGGAGGAAAGATGAGGATACAGCAGGGACAGAGAAAAAGCCTCAGGCGAAACCAGGGCAACAGAGATGAGCGGTGCAGGTCTGGTCGAGTGACCCGGCAGCACCGGGAGCACGCACGGCTCCGGTGAGCTGTGCCTGGGTAGCTGCACTGCAGCAGAGGGCACCACAAAGCCACAGAACCCGCTCTGTGCTAACCAATAGTGCAGTACCAATGTCTGCGTTACAGAGACCGGCGCTGGCCTCGGCTCTGTGCCTTAGGTGGGAAGCAACGACGAAGAAACACTCCACAGCCCTCTGTTTCATACTTTAAATTAGCACAAGCACGGGCAGCGTTAATGGCTGTGAGCTGTGTCCGGCTCAAACCCACGCTGAGGCTGCCACTTTGGTGTGGCTGCCGCGTGTTACACCTCGCGCAGAGGCGCGGCTGCCCTGCGGAACGCGATGTCCCGGCTCTGTGTGACACCTGCAGAGGATGCTGCCGGCCCTGCCGCCGCCACGCTGTCCCGTTCCGAGGGCGCTCACAGCCCCCTGCTCCTGCCAGGCCACCCGTGCCATGTGCTCGCCCGCAGACCTGACCCCGGCAAGGAGCCGTGCGGGCGGCCCGGCCGCTGCTGCCGTCCCCGCCGCGCTGAGGGCGGCAGCACCGCCCGCGGCCGAGAGCGGCGCGGCCCCGCCCCGTCCCGGCCCGGCCCGGCCCGGCCCGGCCCGGCCCGGCCCCTCGGCTCCCGGTCCGGCGGGCGGCGCCTGCGGCGGGCGGAGGAGGCTCCGGGAAGTGGCCATATTGGATCCATTCAGCCGCAGCCACTGGCGGCGGGCAGCGGCAGCAGCGCGGCCATGGCCGCCACCGACCTGGAGCGCTTCTCGGTGAGCACCGCCCGCTGCCCTGCGCCTCCGCGCCCGCTCAGCTCCGGCTTGCTTTGTCGCTCGGTGCGGGGGAGTAACCCCCGGGTGGTGGGTCCGGGGCGCGGCGGGGGATGGAGCCGGGGACGGAGCGGGGCGATCGGGGAAAGTGCTTGCGGGAAGGTGCTGGCCGCGCCGTGGGCGGAGGGCAGCGAGGGAAGGGCTCCGGGGCCTCGCAGCCGCCTCTGGTGCTGGCAGCGGCAGCGCCGCGTTCGGGGAGTCCTGCCGGGATGCCCGGGATGCTCGGGAACGGCATCCGGGACCGTGCGCCCGCAGGCACGCATCGCCCCGCAGAGACGGGCGGCAGGAAACGGGGTCAGACTTCCCAAATACCAATTGTTTACATACCGCTGGTATCCAAACACTCCGCAGTAGTAACTTAGCGGTGTGTATATAACACAGGGAGGGACACGCAGCTTTAAACACAACTAAAGCAAACCCTTGAGGCTGGCTGCCCTCTGAGCCAATGTATGGGGAATGCTGTACAGCAAATATGGAGCGTGACCTGTGCACTGCCGCCTCTCTGCAGCTCACATGTTGTATAACTGCTGTCGGAAGTCAATCTGGCTAAAATCTGTCGGCCCAAAACTATTCTTTGTCTACAGCTTGAATTTTTTGTTGTTGTTGTGTTTGGAAGGGCTGTTCTCCTTAAGTAGCTTGGTGTTGTGTCTTGTACGCTCGCAGAGCTAAAAACATTTTTACCGCATTAAATAGTACAGCTCTCCAAAGTCAGAATAGTCTGCTGTGATATTACTAAATAACTGGGAACAGCAGTGGTGGCTGTCTGAATTATAGGCATGCCCTTTGAGCACAAACAAGTCCCTGCTACTGTTTTCTCTGTAAGCTACTTTTTGCCAAGGATCTCAAACCCTCTTCGTTTCTTTGACTCCTGGCCCAAAAGTTTCCAATTCAGGAATGACTTTTCAAGACTGTAACTTAACTTAAAACCTGCATAAAGGAAAATTGAACTGAGGCTCTTATTTAAGAAAGCTAATGTTTCTAGGCTCTGGGAGGAGTAGATTAAGGTAATTACAGTGGCAGAGAATGAAAACACCAAGACTCTCTCGCTGCAATTCTTTCTGCATTGGTATAATATCAAAATACTTTTAATGTTAATTTGGTGTGCCTGCTGTTGCCTGTGCACATTTTCATAGGTGTTACAGGAACCTAAAATATTGCCTAGTTCTGGAGAAAATTAAATTAACTTGTTTTTTTTTGTGTGTATTTTCATCAATACTCTGTTGCTTTGATTTTTTAAAAAAGAAAGGGGGGAAAACGTCCTCCTGAAGGCGTTTGGCTCTCATTTGGGCACCAAAGGGAAATGGCTGGGCTCCAGCATGGCTTGAGTGTCCACCTCCATTAGGAAGAAACCTACTTGCTTTGTGCAATGAGCAGGGATGGGTTTATAGGGATTTGCAGGTGTAGTAAAGCTGATGATCTCAGTTTGCCTTTTGCTTGGAACCATGGATCTGGCAGAGGTGGGTAGGAGAGCACCATCTCGTTTCCATTTGGTGTGGGGCAGGTGTTTGTCCCAGCTGCTGTTTCCCTTAGCCTTAGCTTGCATCTCAGCTGTTTTTCCTCCAGCAGCATCATGGAAACCTCATGATTCAGGTGTTCTGAGTTGTTCTTTCTGCAGGGCTTACGGGTTTCTTGTTGCCATTTTATGTTACCATACCTCAGCTTCCTGAGCATGAAGCCCATGTGGGAGTAGCTTGTCATTGCCAAGCAAAGGTGATGATAAATTCACTTATTTTTACCAGCTGTTTGTATTTTCAGTAGGAAGTAATGTTGAAAAAGCTTCTGAAGTAAGGGTTTAATACACAATAGATCGTGATTGGTGAAGCTATTTATAAGTGTCCAGCTGACATTGATATCCTGGAATGTAGTGATCCTTAGGTTTGGATAATGTGTTTTGAAAACTCCCCAGATGCACACTTCCCTTGTACAGTCCTCCAGAGTGCCTCTGTCTCCAGCACAATAAAGTTCCCTTCAAGTGCTGTTGGAAATGACCAACAAAAACAAATAAAAGGAAACTCACCCATGGAAAGCTGCCTCTGAGGCAGCAGGATCACACCAGTGGTGCTCAACACCACCTTTGTTTTTGTGTTTTGAGAGAGATTTGCTTCAGCCCCTGGAGACTGAAGTTTTGTGCTCATCTGCTCTGGTAGCCACAGCTGTGTTCAGGGCTTAGGCTGCAGGCATCACTTCTGGAGCTGCTTACCACCAGGGTGGAAGAACTGATAAAGTGTGGTTAATTGATGAAATACTTTTATTTTGTCATTAAAGCTTATAGCTTCTCCATTGCCTGGGCTGGCCAGTGCTGAGTTAGCACATGTGGTGATTGCACTGGAGCAGACTAGCAGTACTGCAGTACTACAGACTAGCTAATACTAGCAGTATTAGCAAGGATGTTGGGATGTTGAGTGGGAAACAGCCCAGCCACCACGTGCAAGTGGAAGCCAGAAGGTGCTCGAAATGCAGAAGCTCTGAAGGAGCTTGGAAAAGCTGGAAGGAGAAAAAGTGACAGAGAGGGACTGAAGATGCATTGAAGAATAAATGGGATGAGATGTGAGACTGAGACTGTGAAACTTCTGCTTTCCCAAATCTGTTGTTTTCTCTCTTTTTAAATAAAACACACTGACCTCACAAAATGCTGCTGGTTAACTATCTGCACTAACTCACAGCCTGACATGGTGGTGCAAAGGCAGTGGGCTCCAAACTGAGCAGTTCTGTGAGAAGAAGCAGGTGTCCTCAGTCTCAGGGTTGGGCTCAGATAAGAGTTTAATGTAAAAAGCCAACTTTGGTTGGTTGTTCTGGGTGGACACTGTGATTGCCTGCATGGACAGGGGTGTGTGAACAGTGATGCTCAGGGCAGAGGGCACTGGACACATGTACCTGGCATGTGTGAGCTCTGGCTGGGGATAGCTGTCCAAATGCAATCTTGAGATTTCCCTTCATGTAAGTGATTGACAGCTGGGCTGGTACTGGCAGCTTTATGATAAATTAATGTCCCTTAGAAGATCTTGCAGGAAAAAACACCACTTTAAACAGAGGAAAGCTGAAGACCAATTTCTTTGCTGGAAGTAGATGATAGGATTTGCTTTCTCTCAGAGAGTTGCTGAGCTTGGGGAGGATCTGGCAAGTTTGTCAGCTGTGTGTGAATGGTACCTGTTTACACACCACTGCCTTCTTGTCACCTGCTCCCAGCTTTGTGGGAGGAGAGGAACCTTTAGATGATGCCTGTTCCTGCCACAGCTGCCATTGTGATAAACTTCACATGCTGCTGCTGCTTTCTGTAAGCTCGGGGTTCACTAAATGACTGCACAGCCCAAACCCACTGTTCTCTGTAAGGGGCAGTGGGATGCCTTAGTCCATGAAAGACAGGCTTGAGGAGTGAGCTGAGAACAGCTCTGTGTTTCATGACCAGAAGTCTTATCACTGCAGGTCCTAAGCACAGGCTTACCTTTTCTTCTAAATAAACTCTCAAGGAAAACCTTTCCATGGCTCAATTCCAGTGGAAAATGGGTTTGATTTGAAGTCAGACATTCCCTCTGCTCTGTTTTTTGCCCAGGCAGTTGGCACCACTTGGAAGTTCCAGTATTAAATCTCTTTGTTTCTGCTATTCGGTTATTTTACCTTTTGCCTGGAAAAACTCAAGTGATCCCCCATGCAGTGTGGAGCACAAGTGACAGATTTTTGTCCGAGCTGGTAGCAGGCAGCAGAAAGCCAACCCAGCAGGAGCAGCCCTTTTCCTCCCTGTGCTGGCCAGCTCTTCTGCCTGTAGCATTTGCTTTTCTGGGAAGGAACGATGCAGAAAATGGCCTTCCACTGGAGGGGACAAATTGGTGGTTGCATCTCCAAGCCTGCGATTCCTCCCCTGGAATTTTGCCTGTCCTCATGCAGGAAGCCAGCTCTGACTGCCTCAACCACAGAATCAATTAACTCAACCACAGCCCATGGCAGCTAAACACTTACTTTCAATGTATGCACTGGGTACAAACGTTGCCCAGAATAAGATGTTTTTTGGGCTTTTTTTCCTCTTCCCCGCTGTGGTGCTGTCACTGCTGGTGAATCCGGGGTGTCTCTTCCTCCTGCAGCAGAGATGCAACATGTTGTTCTGCGTGGGAGCTCCAGAGCTCTCCGAACCACTCGGAGCTGCAGTGAGTGCTGAGGCAGTGGGTGGAGGGACGTGAGCTGGCGGAGGCTGAGGCCGCGTGTGCCCTCAGCATCGGCAAAACAAATGAGAGCCTGAAGAATAACTCCCTTTCAGGAGGCCGGCACGGTGTCAGGGCTTGTCGTCTGTGCTGTGGTGGCAGCTGTCAGCCAGTCCCCAGCGTTGCTGGAAGGCCAGAAGCTCCCTAAATATTATCTTCTGTGGCAGAATACCAGCGCTGTCTCCAGCTGCAGGGAGAGGCACAGCCCTGTCTCTGAGTGCCCCCGCTGTCCCCAGTCCTGTCGTCTCAAGGCACCACTGTGCAAGCCAAGGGCCCCTTCACTGGGCTGTTTTTCTGTCTGCAGCAGCAACAGTCACTCTCATCTCCTTTCCTTCTCGAGCTCCTCTGGCTCCGAGCTTGGGAGGGGAGAAGCTGGTATGATGCTGAATTGGCTTTTCCTGGGTTGTGCAATTAAGAGGAGGAATTTGGGAGGTGATGGGACTGAGTGAGACGTGCAGAGCGTGGGCATGCTGCACGCTTCATCCCACCTGTGTAGGGTAAAGGCACGTTTATGAGATTAGTTTGGATTATTCAGAATGTTTGAACATACTTCAGGCTGTGGATGGGAGAAGCTGCCCTGTTTGTTTCAGATGCCCTGTTTGTGCAGCCTTTGGAAATAACACTGTCCTGTACTTGTTTTGTTGAGGTAGGCCTTGTGTTTATGCAGAATCTGCTTGTTTCTCCTCCTCCCCACATCTGCATAGCTGCAGCAAGCTCTGGATTTATATCTGAAGCATTGCATTTGTCTTC